CGCGGGGGGAAGGGGCGGCGGGCGGAGTGCGGGTCCGCGCCGTCCCCATCCCCATCGTGCCCGACCCGCCGCCGGCGGCGCCCCCCGCGCCGTCCCACGCACCCCCCGCTGCTCCCATCCTCGGGCGCGGGCTGCCCGCACCTGAGCGGCCGAAGGCAGAGAGAGCCGGCTCCATCCCCCGCCGCCGCCCCGAGACAGGGACCCGGAGCGCGGAGCGGGAGCACCCCCCGCCCGCCGCCGCCGCGCTGCTGCCGCCGCTTCTGCTGCTGCCGCTGCGGAGGCGCCCGACTGCACATGTGCGGCGGCTGCGCGGGCCTGGCGGGAGGGGGCAGGGGCGGGGGGAGGCGGCGGGACACCGACAGCGGCAGCCCGGGAACAGGGGAGGGAAGCGAGGAGGGAGGAGAGGGCACCGGCAGGGACCGCCTTCCCCCCCGCGCTCCGGGGGAGGGGGCGCAGGCACAAGAGGCGGCGGGGCAAGAGGGTCTCCCCCGGCGGGCTGTCACTTCCCAGCGCGCCTCTGCCCCCGCCGGCCGCCAGCCCGCCGGGCTCTTTTTCCTTTTTTTAAAAAATAAAATTAAAAAAAAAAAAAATTGAAACTTACACTTTTGTGCGTCCCCCTGACGCTGCGCGCTGACGTCACGGGCGCGGCGCGCCTCGCACGGGCACACGCGGAGCGGCCAAGCCAACCCGCCCGCCCGCCGCTCCAAGGCGCGGAGGGAGCCGGCGATGGAGCATGCGCGGGATTTTCGCGCCTTCTTCCGACTCCCCGCCCGCCCCGCGGTGCCGCGCGGTGCCCGCGGGCGCGGCCGCGCTGCCGGCGCGGAGCGGGAGCCGGCGGGGCTGGGCCGTGCGGTTTCGTTGCCACAACATCCTGCTGCCAGCGCTTCCTCATCGCGTTTTGTCCGGCCGTTACTCGAGCGAAGTTTCGCTTGCAGCGAGCGTTGCTAAAATTAGGGATTCTGTGGTAATCCAAGCGAAAGTTTTCCTTCGGGCGGCTGCAGACCTTAACCTTGCGCCCAAAACTAAAACACCTCGGGGCGCTGCAGCCCCTGCGTGCAATGACGACCGCGGGAAAGGAGCATGTTAGCGAGGGTTATGTGATGCAATTACATCACTGTCCTGTAAATTTCGGGGAAAAAGCAACCCCAAAACCTGCAGCGTTGCTGGGAGGCTGCAAAGGCAGAGCCGCTGTAGGGGAAATTGCAGGGCAGCGAGGAGAGCTCCAGAGTCGTGTTGCTCACGGGGAGGACGCGAGGCTGTTCGATGGGGAGGAAGCTATAGACAGTTCTGCACGGTACAAGGTTGCTCATAACGCAACGAAGAGGCGAGCAGGAAGCAAAAGGCTCGTTCTTTCGCTAAATTCATGCTGCTTCCTGGGAAAGAAGACTAGCTGGGAGTAGAACACACGACCACAGAGCCGCTACGTTGCAGCAGCAGGCAAATCCAGCAGAGAGCATGCTGGAGGAGATGCATTTCACGACGTGATTCGCATTCACTTTTACACCTCTGTGTTGTTTGTTTTTTTGGTTTTTTTAAGACGTTGAATTTTTGTGCTTTACAATAGTAATGAAACACTACGTGAATTTCCCTGATAAATAGCAATCTTCGGAGGTTTTTTTTTAACAATGCCTCCCCCCTCTCGCCCCCACCCCCCGTGCTGCTCTGGGGTTATTACCCCAGTTCTTCATTCCTCTTCATTAAGCTTGGCGGCAGTGGCATCGAGGAAAGGCGATAATGAAATTGTATTTGTAACAGTATAACTTTTTAGAAAGCAGCAAAAACTTTCACACACAAACCCCATAAACCAGCTGCAGAAAAAAAAATTGCTTCCTGAAAGACATCTCCAGTCGACAGTGCCGCTCTGCACCCTCCAGGTCATATATACTGTGCCTAAGGGTTCAAACCGTCTGTGTATCCCACGTCCCTACCCACCCACCTCCCGCTCTTTTGTTTCACATTAATTCTTTCAGGAAAAACACTTGCGAGTCAACAGAACAAGCACAAACAAGGAGTGTCCTAGTTTGCTAGCATTTATTTTGATACATACTAACTGCCCAAACACGCCCAACTCTTGGGTAGTGGGGTTTTTTTTTCCTTTAGCCGAGGGTTGTTCGCAATTAATTGGAAGTGTTTGTACCAGTGAAAAAACTTTCAACACTTCTCTAATCTCTGAGCACACCTTTTGCAGGTATTTTGGAGCTTTAGGATTTCGTTTGTGATAGTAGTGGTGGAAGGCTATTCCACTTCACAGTTTTCTGGGGAGTGTATCTCCCTTTTAAGGGTGCACGAAAAGCAGAACAGATCATAAATTTAAACAGCATCAGTGAGGCAGGACTGCATGACAGACACGAGGAAATTGTCTCAAGAGGTCATAGGCAGAAAGCTTCAACAGATGCCAGAGGAAATGCAGACGAACGGGAGCCATGCAATCCGAACACTGTGATCCGTGCAAACTCATGACTTAAAGACCTAGTGCCACCTGACCACCTTGTCAGCATCTGGCCTCGTCGGGAGGTACCATCTTCCAATTCCCAAATTTCTACTCCATTTTAGGAAATAAAAAATACAGCTTGGTACCATAACTGAAAATTTTACTACTCTGATTTAGGTTTTTCCCACAAGGCAGGATCAGTTATCCCTAAGTCACTCTTGTCACAACGTTGTCCAGTTTGTTGTCTCCAGCCAGCAGGTTTCCCTGGTCCAGTTGTGTTTAAAGTGTCAGTAAGTCCAACCCAGCAGAGGTAATTACTCAGCAGAGGCGGCGGGAGAAGCCGAGGAGCAAATCTCCTGGGCTACTGAGTGAAGTTGGTAGAGACATGCCTTTCCCTTCTGCCTTTAGGGGCTGAGTGGGCTACACTCCTCCCAGCTCTAAAGACTGCTCTTCCTTCTCCCTGCAGTAGTTGTGTTGGCTCCCTCATTGTCAGGCCATCAACACGGGATGTCTGATACTTTGCTGCTCCTTACAAGCTATTGCATTGCCCACAAAATAGCAACGCTGTTATGTGGCTTGCCTCTTGTCATTCAGGGATCCCGTTTCCTCCACCTTTGGCATTGCCCACATGCTGGAACACTGCCAGGACTGGTTACTGAGCAGAACTATGGATTCCTTCCCTAGACAAACCCCAGGAGTGCTTTTGTGGTTAGATTGTTCCTGGGTTTGTTCCAACAGGCAAGACCACACTAGATTTCTCACCCTCTCCATCAAGCATCATCGTGCAGCAATATTCTGTCACACAAGGCGCCCCCACATCTTTCTGCCTGCAAAGTTGAGGATGTCCAGTCATAAAACAAGTCAAGTACAAGGCTTTGTGGGGATGCTTTTCCTCATATTTGAGAATGATAAGAAGTATAAATTCTTAGAGCTTTTAAAAGGCTATGTAGTGCCATGGACTTAGTTCGCCATCACCACATTCTTGAGCCATCCTAGACCTACATCAGTGACAATTTCAGGAAACCACATCACAGCTCCCACAAATACCTTCCTACTGACAAACTGAAGCCACCTGCTCTGTATGGGATAAGCCAGAAGTAGGGTGGTTGTGGGTCCATACATACCAGTCTGACCCCAGGGCCAGGGAAATAGCTCACCAAGCACAGCCCACACTACCAGCTTTTAAACTACTTTGGTTCCTTTATCTTCACAGAATTATCAAGGATAGCAATTAAGGGGTAACACACAAGAACTCAAATTTTCAGAAAGCCATGCCAAATAAGCACAGTTGAATCCACCTACAAAATAAATGAAACACCCCCCCTGCAAAAAAAAAAACCAAAACCCAAAAAACAGAATCTCAACCCCAGAACAGGTTAGCTGAGTGAGTTTTAAGTCAAGCATAGAGGAGACCTCCCTTTTCACTCCCTTAAATTCAGTTTGACCATAGGAATATCCTCTCATCACTTAATGAGGCTTCTGCTTTGTATCAGCTTTCCTGTATTAAAATGGTACTGATCATTAGTTAATGAATGAGATAGAACCATTGTCCAACAAGGTGGAACAAGAATTTCCAGAAAAAGACCTTTGTTTTTCAAGAAACCTTCAACAAATCACTAGATTTTCCTTTCAGGGCTTATGGAACTCTGCTTTAATTTTATCTGCTTGACACAGAAAGAGAATATTCTACAGTAAGAGCATAAGGTTTCTGAAAAGCTGCAATTATATCTAAGTGGGCTGGTTATGCAATATTCTCCCCATTTTTCACACAGGAATGAGTGATCATTCACGAATAAGGTCTGTTGTTTCTGTCCTAAGATCATATCATGAGACTAGCCCATTTGAACATGGAATTATGCATGGAGCCATAATTCTCATTTCAGGAAACATTTAGAGTATCTCAGTATACCTCTAGATTTCTATGAGGCAATCTCAAATGTCTGATTGCAAACAAACTTACCATATGTCTGTTAAGATTACTAACTTGCACTTACACCTAATATTGAACCAGGCAATCCAAATCTGTGTCAACAAAGAAGCACAGAACACTGGTACTCACACAAGCCTATTTCTCTCCTCCCAGGTCTCCTAAAGCCCAGCCAAGTTGTCCTGGTTTTGGCCAGGACAGAGTTTTTTTCCCAGTAGGCATGAGGAAGTGGAACCTGGAGTGGCCTGGGCATATATACCTTGTGATTCTTTACTATCCTACCTCATTGCCAGAGGCAGAAAAAAGGGGCTCCCTCTCTTACTTTCAGGAAGAAAGGTAGTCCTTTTCTCTGTGTTGTCGTCTGGGGGTCCTCTTTGCACAATTTTGTTATTAATATTGTTGCTCTTACTGTTTGTTTTCTTATCTCATCGCTGTTTCCAGTAAATGGTGCTTATCTCAACTCACAATCTTTGCCTTTTGTGCTTCCAGCTTCGGGGAGAGGGGAAACAGCTGATGGTGTGGTGTTGGTGAGAGCACTAAATTGGGGAATACCATTCCTAAACCATGACAAAGTTTATTTGGGAGAGGACAGAGAGATGAGGCAACCAGTAAGGTATCTAGATGCTTGCTTTCCTTTTTTGAACATGGAACCAAATGAGCTTTTCACCCAAATCTTTTAGAAGATATTCAGGAAAATATTTTCTTTCTTTTAAGAGACACATGCCATCAGTATTTCCTAGTCTCTTTCCTGACTTTTAAAGAATTTTCTAGAGAACTACAACTACCCACAGCAATTTATTTAGATAAAAGTTTTACTCATCACAGGTGCAATATGTCATGTAACTGCTTCAAGGGCTAACTAAGTGACATAATGGAAACCATACAGAGGTCTCTACCATGACCTGTCATACATTTCTTCCCTCTGAAACAGGTGGCAAACTACATGTGAAATAAGCATCTTTCAAAGCCAAAATGAAGCATTTAGGAGAGATGCTTGTATTTCATGCAGAAACAATGAGCTAGGTGAGTGGACAGAGTTGACAGGACAGTTAAGAAACAAATTATTTCAGTGAGGTACTTGGAAAAGAGTAAAAGGTCTGAGCTAGGAGACTGTTAAATGGAACCATAAAACCCGAACTGCTCCTCTATTTTGAATAAAAATATTGAAATATAGCAAAAAATAAGTTTTGAGTTTCTTTTCTGTTATAGAATCATTTTATTTAAAAAAATATTCATTGGGCAGCTTTTTGTTCTGCATTTGTGTGTTTTGTGACAACTTTTGAAACCATTTGAGGGGAGGTGGATTTGCCCTACATTCCTCCAATCTTTATGAAGATTAGTGTCTAGAGGGAAAGCCCCAAATCCAGTGAGCAAGAGCTCAATTATGATGATCTCTACCCTGTCCCACCAGTACATACACACTCCAGACTAATCCAAGTTTCATTTGGACAAGCCCAGCAGATGTCAGAGAAAACACAGAAGAAACTGAGGCTGCTATAGGAGAAAGAGGTACAGACCACAAAGATCCATCCAAAGCTTTGTGTTGCTACTTGGAGGACAATTTTCATTTTAATTGGCAATTTAAACCTCATAACATGCATTTTTCTAACCATTTTGTGGGTATCAATGTTATTTCAGATGACACTGCAATACTGACCTGAAGTGTTGATGTATCTTAAATAGTATTGGTTTTAGCAGATGAACCTCAAGATGATTCTTAAATGCTTTGTCACAGAGTACACTACAGCCTATGAGTAAGCTTTCTCTATGACACTTAAATAATGGGCTTTTACAAGACCTATCTCACTACATACAACATTTTAAAGAAAAATCACATTTAAGATCACATTCAAAACACTGTTTTCTAAAATATAATGGTATTTTAAAAAGACTAACAATTTATACAATGTAAATGTAACTTAAAAGGTCATGGGGTTGCAAACACACACCTAGTCTGCCGTTTCCAGTCTTCTGCAAGTTAATTTACTTAAAATAATTTCAGATCTAGAATAGTGTCAACTAAGATCCATCCTCCAAGGTTACAGAAGTAGTATTTTTCACATCTAACTGAAATTACACTTCCCAGTTTTACTACATTTATTTTTGATTTAAAAGAAAACACCCCTGTATACCATTACTGTAGCAGCAGTTAGCAACAAGAACAGGTAACAACTGTCAGTCTGCAAACATAAATTATGCCCTTTCTTACCGTCAGTTTTTAGTCAAATATGTAAATAAATACAAGAGCTAACACAAAATATACCACTCTAAGAAAATACATTATATGCTGCAATTTGGAATGAAATATCATGCAGTACTGGCTGCATGAATTGGAATATGTAATTAACTGCTTGGAACTGATGCTAAACAGTTAAACCTTTTCTTTGTACAGAGGATCATTTTTATTCACCATTAGAAATTTGGTTTGTAGTTAATTTTATACTGCTATATTAAAATCATAAATGTGAAAATGACTCAAGTCATTTAGTGAAAGAAGATACCATAGGCACCATAATATATTTTTTTTTCCTTTTTAAACAAAATCTGGTGATGAACCAGCATTAACAGGATGAAAATTAAAAGGCACATTCAGGCAAAAAATAATAAACATAGTTTGCATGACACTATATTAAAAATAATTTATGCTCTGAATAACAGATTGGATCAGAAACAAATGTTCTAGTAGATTCCAATCAGTCAAAGTAAATTTTGTAAAAGGTGTGCAATTCATATGACACAATTATTTTTTGTATTGAATTTTGTTTTAAGGTCAGTATAAGGCTTATAACCAAGTGCTTATTAAGAGGATTGACTACTCAACAGGTCTTGTTTTCTAAGTGCATAGAAAATACAATGAGCAATGAAGACGTTTTCCTTGCAAGAGGACATATCCTTCAATTTGTGCAAATCTTGATCAAGTACTGGAGCGTCTTTCAGGTCTCGGAACACATTTCATAATTGCAGCTCTCCACAGGGCAGGGGCAAGTAAAAGGCTTAGAGTAGTCACACTCAGAATAAGAAGATAAACCTGCAAAAGGCAAATAAAAGCCATTACTTCTCTTGGTTACATGGTAGTACAAAGAAGTATCTAGAAGTTTGAGGAGATTAGGCTCTTCTAGACCATGTTTTCAAGAGACTTCACTTGTCTTGCTAAGCAACTTTGCATATTGCTACAGAAGCAAACAAGTTCATGCTCAAATAATCTAATTTTACCTGGTGTGAAGATACAATTGCAAAAACATCATTATGAACTTATAGAAAAACAATTGTATTTATGTGAAGTCATCAATTTTGAAAAATCAGTATTTGTTAAAACGTCAAAGACCAATTACCACTTTATTTAAAAACCAAAACTTAAAATCCCCAAACAAACAATCTAAACCAAAAAGACACCCAATCAATCAAGCAAATAAAAAAAACCCACCATCACCACTCTAAACTATTCTGATTTAATGATTTAATGGCAAAGTTCACTGTTAGTTCACTTATCAACAGAAAAAAACAAGCATAAATCCCTTTAAGTCATACTGTACATCTTCTGGAAAAAAAAATAAAATCCTAACTACACAGTTTGAATAAGTCCTAGAAAACAGTGTCAGGATGTAGTTTTGAGGTCTCAAGCAAAAGAATGAATTTAGGAAATTTCAGAGGTATACAAACCTATACATTAGATAATCATGTGAGAGCAGAAAAAAATGAAAGCCTAAAAGCCTCCAAGCTCAGTGGGTGGGCCCCTAAACTGGTTCTGTGATCACATATAGATATCTTGAAACTCTATGCAAACATGCAATATTCGTAACTCTTAATTATATGAAGGAGTGAACATGAAAGTGAATCACCTTTACCTACAAGTGAACAGTATTGTGTAAGTTTTTCACATGTGCTTTATTTGGAATTGGTTCCAACACTATGCAGTCCACTTGCTCAACAAAAATGAAAACCTCAGAGAACCAGGAGAGCATTTTTTTGTAGCAGAAGCACAGAGGATAAAGCAGTTAGTACTAAAAAGTGAGGTCAGTTCCTGTATCTCTATAGCCATAATTTACCTAATTTAATAAATCAGACTTTATCTTAAAAAAAAAAAAAAGTAACATTGTCACAGGTTCAGTATAAAACTAAGTTTAAGGCTTCTTTCCCGGGAGACTTTTTCATGACTGCCAAAAACATTGGTTATTTCTCCTGTGGAGGATTTAAAATGAACAAGCTTTACAGATTAAAGTGATTGCAAGTGTATTTGCTTGTTTAAATGTTAAGGCAATTTTCACAATATCTGCTCTCCAGTTCTTATTTACTGGTTTTTCCCTCTTCAAATCCTATATTCCCTCTGTATTGTACACTCCTATACCTCCTTCAATACCTGCATCAAGACTTTAAAAGCAAAGACTTCTCAGTCTTTATGACTTATCTTTATGACTTAATTAAGTTGTAAGTGAAAGAAGTTAAGGGCAACTCACTGTTCACATAATTAAGTTGTAAGTGAAAGAAGTTAAGGTAAAGCATTTATAATTAAGTTATTTAAAATACTAAGGTAAAATATGAAACAAGTGTGAACCAGCACAAAGAACCCTGTCAGGGATATACAAGTATCCATTTCTATGGGTTGATTTTACCTTTTTAACAGTTGAGAGGTGCCACAAAATTGGAGTGTATTGGTATTTCAAATACTGGGATTTTGTATCACAGTGTAAGTTATTCAGGTGCAAAAACTAAAATTAATAACCACAGAACAGCTTACCTCCCGAGATATGATCCCTGCTCTGCGTGCTCTGCTTCCCAGAACAAAAGAGAATTCACTGACTTGTGCCAGTCCTGCTGAGACAATCCACTTGATATATTGGCTGGTCTTTGGAAGAATCAAAGAAAGGACAAGCACTGCCAAGACAAACTTTAAAAACAGGTTTTTTTGAGTTATTTGGGGTTTGTTTTGTTTGTTTGTTTAAATAATGAAGTGTAATAAATAAAATAGCACTATCTCTGTAAGATACATTGCATCAAATAGAGAAATTTTGAACATGACATAAAATAATGGACTTCCAAGTGGGTCTTCTGTATTGATGTCAAAAGAGACAAAGGTACATTGCACAGTAAAAAGTAGCATCTTCTTTACTATAATAAAATACTTGATAACTGTCACAAATCCCAAGCTGGAGAAATAGATGCTCTGCCATGTCCAATTTCCTTTTAACATTAAATAATTTTCTTTTTAAATACTTGAAGAGTATTGTATTAAACTGTACTCTAATGAGTAAGATTCCTCCAAATACATATTTACAGTAATATTCTCTGTTATATTAAATGTTCAGTTCTTGCATAAATTGTCTTTAGGGCATGCAGCACAAAGATTACTTAGATTAATGAAGATTAAAATATTTTTAAAAGTGTAAAAATAAATACCTTCATTATGACGACAGACAATGTAAGGAATAGCAAGACTGTGAGTTCATATATTACAAAAGTGGGAAAAACATGAAGTCCTAGAAGGAAAGAAAACAATATTGCACAGTTTGAGGCCAATATCTTACTATGGTAACTTTCTGGATTAATAATAGATTTAACTGCAAGACTGTATTCTCAAAACAAATCAAACAAAAAGCCTTAACTCACCTACAAACCACTTGATTGCTAAAGCCCTAACTATCTACTTGATCACAAAAGCATTTCCTGTGATATCCAGCCCTTTTCTCCTTTGGGGAGGTTTAGCACAGGCAATATTTCCAACTGAATTAAGTTGCATATGACTGCTGCACAAGCAGTTTAATTTCTAAAGCTTTCTGTCTTCCACACCAGTCAACAATACAAAATCTGAACTGAAACACACATCTAATGAAAGCTATAAAAATCCTGCAAGAAAATAATTCCATTGTTATGCACAGTCATTCTAATATTTTGCTGGTGATTTAACTTTTTTTTATGGTATGGTAATGGACTATCACAGTGGGAGGAACATGATACTCGGGATGTGCATAGACTATAGCTACAACAGAAATCCAAAGTCTTTTCATTCTATGACTTTCATTTCCAAATCCTGAAAGTCACCTGAACTTGAAAAGTCACTTAGACTGGAATCAGGTAAGGCCATAAACCATTGAGCACGGTCTAACAATTAAGGAATTATAGAAAAACCCATTGCTAAGATGTTGATGGGATTTCTTTTGTTGGAAGTAGATTGTCTTTGGGTTTTTTGAAGTATTTGGTAATTTTAACTTGGTAATTGTATAAAGAAAGGTAAAAAGAACCACAAAGAACTCAGAAACATTAGACTAAGTCCTGCAAATATTAAACATAAGAAAAAGAACTATTTGATGGAAAAGTCCTAGAGTCACCGAGGAATAATCTTACAACTCATTCCATTTTTATCTCCTGAAGCATGCAGAACTTCTACAGGCAAACATAACTGCCTATCTTTGGAAGCTCATTCCTTTTTCATAAAAGCTTCTAAAAAGTGAAATCAAAATAATGGTGGTATTCCCAACAAATTCATAATAGCTGGCATTTCTCCAACCCAGTTATTTCTGATGAAGGACAAGAATTTAGCTTTCTAAAGCATAATGCATGTAAATCGCTGCTGTAAATAACGTATTTTAATGTGGGACAAGGTTCCATTAATTTTCCCTCCCTGTAGTGCTGCAGATCCAGATGAGCTGTAGAGAGCCAAGAGCAGTCATCTCTTCCAGACTTACAGGGTTCACAGGGTTTTGTCTGTATGCACATTCAATTGCCAATGGAAACCTTCTTCAATTACATCAGAGATCTTTATACAAGTGCCACCCAGTCAGCACGCACACACCCTGTTTTATTTCTTAATTTCCTTCCAACTACTGAAGTGCAAATGCAAAAGACTATCAAAGTAAGAGGAGAGACAGCAGAATAAGAGGTGAAAACCACACCAAAAAAAAAGAAATCCACATATATGCAACAGATGCATGTGGAAGTAGCAAGTAGCTTCACTGCAATATCACATGTGCAGTGCTCCTTCACCTTTAGGCCGACCTCAGAAAATACATGAAAAGCAATTAGAGAAATACAGCCCGTAGCAATGGCATGCTTGATAAGAGGGACAATTCTGCCAGATCTAGAACTGAAGGTTTCCAAGAGAGGCTATAAATAAAGCCTAGCACTCTCATCACTAATAGGTGTTCAGTTCTGGAGCACACAGGCAGTCTGAAGTCCATTTGAACAGCTGCCCAGTGTGGAGATTATTGCCATATTCCAAAGAGCTAAAGCACAAATGACAGCAGATTTCTATACCAATTCTTTGAAGAACAGTGTCTGCAAGGTGAAAACAAGCCTAAATTTGTCACATACGCTGTTCTGAGCAGACAAATCAATATGCCAGAAACCAGACATTTTTTGAAAGAAATAAATCCCATCATAAGGTATTTTTATGGTCAGTACAGACCTTTGCCCCATTCCTAGATGAAAAGCCAGGATAAGGCCAGAAGTGCTATCAGACTCCTATACAAGCACATGGCACCTTCCTGACAACACAAACACCATCAGAAAGATTAATTTCAGAGGCAGAAGCTGCATGAATACGGCCAATTATTGCAATGGTTTTGATCAGATTTTGTCTAAGCTCAGCAGTAATTCTGAAATCATTCTCTAACATGGAAGAAACACTTCAAATAACTCAAAAACTTCAGCAGTGTCATCAGCAGATGTCAGATTGGCCAGCAGTCAACAGCTAGGATAACACTTAGGTACACTTTTACAGAATGGGCCACAAGCTACCAGACCTTCAGCTCCAAGCAGTGTTCGCAAAGAGCTGGAACAGAGGCCTTGGGGTGCATCACTGTCAAGCCAAAAAGCACAGTTCACTCATAGAAGTTAGTATGCATTCTGTGGACAATTGCAGGCAAGACTTTGCACAATCTTTTAAAAAGTACTTTTTTCTTAACAAATAAACTTCCTCTTTCCTCAATTAGGCATATTCTACCAATTGATAGATAGCCTCTAAAGAGCATGTGAAGATCCTGACCACATCCTGATTAGATCCAACATCAAAAAAGCAATATTGGAGATCCTTGATGGCATGCAAGAGTACAAAAATCCTAAGTCTGAGGGTCAAACTGGAGCCTGTAGGATTAATTCTGACACATCCTCAAGACAGGACATCACTCAGAAAAATCACGTTACCTATGCATTGAGATGCTCTGTCTACCAAGAGTCCTAAGATCACTGCTGCAAATGCAATAAATACTACAGCCCTGGCTAGATCATTAAGCAGCAGAGGGGAAACCAATCTTCTTAATCTTTCTCCAAAGGGGAAAGTTCTTTTGACTCTATTGTCAGTTCTGAGAGCATGAAACCTCCAAGCTTCATTGTGCTCCATGCAGAAAAACAAAGCAGTAGAGCTGGATGGATAAGGAGAAGGCGATGCATGCCGCCTAACAAATTCCAGTTGGGATATTCCTTTGATTTTCTGAGATTCAATGGAAGTGTGAAGAGGCTCACTGGACAATCCTTGTGTACATGTTTGTTCTGGACAGCGGTGGTGCAGGCAGCGTCAGCATCACCCACCTTCTGAATTAAAAGCCTGAGCTGTTAAAGGATTTTCAGCATCTTGCATTCAAGGTCCAACACTGACCACAGGAGTTACCCAGAAGGGAAACGTGGAACCTGGCAGGTGGTACATCTGTACAGCACACTGAGAACACACAACTTGTGGAAGTAATCTGCTACCTCACCAGTGGCAGAGAGGGTCTTCATGCCCAGTTTCAATCTCTATACTCCACATATAGACCAAAAAAGGAATGGAGCATTTTTAAACCAGTCACAGTTTATGAAAGATGCCTTCCATCTTTCCAAAAAGTAATCAGAACAAAATCAAATGATGTATGGGTAAAGATCTGTGCACTAGATACAAAAACAGAAATGAGAAGGAAAGTGCCCAAAATGTGGCTCTAAGGGATTGGTCACGATGTTCTCTCAAAACTACCATTAAGGACAGAGACTAACAGAAACTCTCTAACCTCAGGAGGTGGCATAAGGAGTGCCAGGAACCTTGAAGAACACCCAGAGGCCTAAATGAATGTACAGATAGAGTGCAACTCAAAGTGCAGCTGTTAATGCCTAACTGCAAAGGTGCATTATTCCCACAAATGCACCCAAGCGCAAATTTGAAAGCAGTACCATTGCACAGGTCAAGCTGAGGGCAGGCCCACTGCTATGGATATTACATGAACAAGTAATATTCAGCTCAGCTTTAAGGCACCAGAAGGATTTCTGTAGTAAGAACAGAAAAGCAGGCATTTAAGACAAGCAAAACAGGGATGAACTTTTCCAAATTACATACTTACAGTCACTTTTCATTTAAGATAATTTTTTCCATTTGTGCCTTTATTCTAAAGGGACCAGAAATTATACTACTGCAGTGGTGTTCCTCAGGAGCTCAAGTGTTTCTGCTCTCTATAAGGTGCTTGCTGCATATAGTAATAAACAAACTTCTCTTTAGGCAGGGGGGAAGAATCTTTCCCTGTGGCTTTTACATAATTTCACAGAGTAAATCTCTGTATATTTATATATACATATAATTTGCATGTGTATGTATGTAACTAGAAAGCAAGCAAGAAGTCTTTAAGAAGAAATCTAATAAGAAGAAAAATTAAGGAATACTTTTTGTTCTACTCAGGTTTTCTTTGCAACATCACATCACTTGTTTTAAAACCTACCTCCTTGCCACAGAATTTCCTGTTAAGTACAAAATTTAAAAGTAACTGAAAGTAAAGGGGGGAGTGGAGGCTAATTTTTATTTGGGGAAGAAAGGGATTTTGTTTGAGGGTGGCAGGTTTTTAGGGTTTTGTGTCTTCTTTTTTTTTGTCAGGTTACTGTTGTTTGGTTGTTTTTTTTAAACAAGGAAGCATTATCACATTTTGTCAGATGCCTATAACATAGTTCTGATTTTTTTAGCTGATTTTCTTCTGAAGCAGGAATAATAACCATTTTCTGTAAAATCACACCAATTTGTTACACAACTTTCTTTCCTCCCCTTCTTGCAATTATAATGGCAAAATTTGTTAAAAAGATTTTTTTTTAATTCTGTAGCAGAATGACTAAAATAATTTCCTTAGAGTACAATACAGGCTGTATGGAGTACTGCTAACATGCCAACTGAGGTCTTGCTATTTTCTTTTATTCTAGGAAAGTCTTATCTCTAGTCTTATAAAATTTATGTGGCCATAAGAGTGTAGGCTTTTTGTTCAAGCCCTTGCAAAATTAACTTGGGGCTTATGATTACTTGTCATGCTTTGTATTCCTGATAACACTATCCATTCCATCACCATCTTTACTGAAACACATAAACACCTTACATCTGTAAGCATTTAGCAATTACTCATGCAAGCTTGTCAATATGGGCCCACGTTTCACCAGAGCTCATCACTTTCCCTCCATTATTAAAAAATAAGTTAGTCAAATAAACATATTTATTACTAAGTAATCTGACTCATCACCAGAAGCTATCATCATGGGCTGGATTAAAAAACTGAAAATAAAATTAAGACTGGCAAGCATAGCTATTTCATCTTTGTTTTAGTTTTTGTTACAAAATGAGTATCAAACAGGTATATGAGGAAAAACATTAAAATTATCATGATGATGGGACTTGTTATCCAAATAAATATGTGGAGATAAAAAGGACAATTAAAAACTTAAAATAACAGTACAAAAAAAATTAAGGGTGGTGTTGAAAAAATCCAAGCAAACTTTCTGGGTAAACCTGGGTGGAAGGAGGGCTGATGATGGGACTTTACTGTTATCTGTATAAATATGTGGAGATAAAAAGAACAATTAAAAACTTAAAATAACAGCACAAGAAAAATTAAGGGTGGTGTTGAAAAAATCCAAGCAAACTTTCTGGGTAAACATGGGTGGAAGGAGGTTGGATCAGTGCACCAGGCCACATCCAAACCCCCTCTTAGACACTGCAATGTCCCCAACATAGGGACAAGCATCTCCTGTACAACCCACAGGGAGAGGCAGCTGCTTTCACAGGGCCTGTCTCCTCACCCACAGTAGCAGAGCACCTCAGCAAGAGTTCCAGCTTTAGACAAAGTGTATTGGGGCATGCACACACAGCTGGAGAATGCAGCAGTTCAAAAGGAGGTTACTGATTTACTGTAAGTATTCTGAGTTAACTCCTTTTGGATATCAAGAATAATGAGTTACTCCCTCGTCTTATACCTCAATGCTGCATTTCAGCTGGCATTCAAGTAGTGTCTGAGACATATCTGCTTTCAATTATTTCCTCCCTGCATTGAGAACATGCAGATCATACCCTCCCAACTAAATTTCCAAAGAAACAAGCTATACAAAATTATGATATTATGACATTCTGCTTCTATAGAAAACCAAGTCACAAAAATCTGAAATCTACTCTATCAATTGACACAAATAGTACTACAATTTTAGCACAAATTACATATACAGCTGCCCAAAAGAGAAAAGAACATTCAAAAAACCCCAACAAATCAACAACCAAACCAAGGCCTTTTTATCTTGATATATTTAGTTAAATGTTTTAAATAGGGTGATTTCAGAATTAACATTGAAAAACTGACACTAAACCAAGACTTGGAAGTACAATATCGAAATGGCTTCTGAAACTGAATGTTCCATTTAAAAGCAGTAGCAAAGGCAAACCACTGGTGTGGTCAATTAACAGTATTGTAACAAAATAAAATCTATCTCCTCCCCTCACACTACAGACACCATTTTTTTCTCCTAATCCACATTGTAAGCAATGTTTTTATATATTATATAGATTGTATATATTTTATATAGTATAGATTTAACATTATTTAATATTACATATAAATATAAAATATTTTAAAGTAAGATTTCTTGGAAGTTACCTATAGATGCAAAGAAAATGATGGCAAGAAAGTCACGTATTGGTTCAATACAGCACATAATCTCCTCAGTAACCATGTGACCCTGAGAAGAGATCAGAGCTCCAGCTAAGAAGCATCCCAGCTCCATTGAAACATCCAACAGCTCTGTGATCTGTTAAGGAATAACAGAGAATCTACTGCTGAGTGACTTTATACACCATTTCACAGTGAAACTATAAAACTTTACATTATACCAAATGCAGGAAATTACTATGTCTTTATGCAAGTTCAACAACAGAATTCAGTGTATGTATTTTTATGTTCTGTAGTATTGTACTTACACATAAGACTCACAAATCTAGTTTCTCCCTTTATGTTACCTCCTTTCCCACAAAAACAAAAATAAATTTCTTAATCTACATTGCAATGCTTTGTGTGACCCTTATGGACAGCATCTGATTTCACAAGTCAGAGAGACTATGACAGCTTTGGAATCAGGATTACATAATACATTCAGGCTGTGGAATAAAGCAGTAAGAACAAGGTATTTTCCAGCTGTCAAACAAGAGGGAAAAAATGAAAATCTAAGCTTATATTTGGGAGAAGAGTCTCAATCTAGCAGAAGTCTCTGGCATAAATTACATTTTATTATTGTAAATTTGATTCAAATGTGCCTATGGGCTTTACTGAATAAGGATTCATTTAAGTGTGTAAAGTAAACTGCTGAAATGAAGCACAATGACTACTTGAAAGAATTCAGACTGCTTCATTCTTTTTAAATATTTTAATGCAGTACTAGAAGAAGAGATTAAACATGTAAAGAGACTAAACAAAACACAAAGTAACTGCTTAAGGCAATGCTTGGAACACTAAAAAAAAAGCAAACTGCACCTCTAATGCATAGTATGGTATAAAGTATATATTTTAAAAATTACTTCAAAATCACACAGATGTAGATGGTCATCTTGCTGAGAAAGGCCAATGTTATTAATATTAATAGAACATTTAAAACCAATCACTTACTTTAATTCTAATTTAGATTAAGCAAGAATACACTATAGTACATTAATAGACAGCATTCATCGTATCTTGAATGGTGTCCACACTTCCAAGGGAGCAGTGCAAAAGACACAATAAGTCTCCACACTATGCATAAGATGGCACCCAAAAATAACCCCAAGACATTTGTGTATGGAAGTAATAATGTCTGAATGCTCATGACATAAGTGCATTTGTTATAACAGTCTGTAATTTATTCCAAGATATTTGAGGTGATAAATTGGTTCTGTCAACTCATATAATTACTTGCTGATCATGCAAAGCAAACAAGGTAATGTAAATCTCATTTTAAACCAAGAGGAATTTCAGTGCTTTTTAGAACAATTTTAAATTGTAAGAGGGAAGAAGACAATATATACATGAAGGACTTTAAAATCACCAAGAGATGAATAAAATTAAGGCAACAGTTATGAATAGGAAACATTTAAATTCTTCTCAATCATACATTAGTTGTTTTAAAAGTCACAGCCTCTTTTGGATGATTAAGATCCAATACAGCCTATTCAAATAAAGCTGGGATTATTTTTACTACTCAGCTATAATCTTCCATACTTAATTGCTGTCAACTGCAACAGAGCTCTACGTCAAAACTTTTATAGCTAATATTTTAAACATTCCCTTGGACAGGATTAGGTTACCATAAAGGAAGACATACAGCATATCCTGTACCAGAATTGCATGATACTGCACTGTTGTGAGAATCACTCTTCAAGCAAGGAACAATTTGAGTGTGAAAGAAACATGTTTGTTCAGAAAGCATCAGACATAACTGGAGCAAACTGCATGTCTAACTGGGAATTTGTTCCCACAGCATAAAAACTGAATTACATTCCTTCAGTTTATGGCAAGGCAAGTATAAGCTAAAGGCCTGGTTAAAAAATAGGCAAGTTTTACTGTTTCTTGTCTAGTCTCTGGGTACTACCCAACTCCAGCTCTACAAAATCCATAGGTCACTCCACAAACAGAAAAGTGTAAAGGGTATCAGAGTGCAAGAAAAGAATGAAAAATTACACCATCTTCTTAACACTCTCTCCCCTCCTCCAATTTGTTCTCCAGATTTCAGAATGAACCAGGTTGGAAAAGACCTTTGAGATCATTGAGTCCAACCTTTTATACATAGCTTTGTACATAAATTCCTTTTACAATTCCCATCTTGGGCGCTGGTTGTCCCATGGTATCACCTACAAGTGGACACATTTCCTCAGCTAAACTGTAGCATCAGGGTTTATCATATATGATGTATGGGCACATGTGCACAAACATACTGGAGAGGACTTGTTTTACTGGCAGGAAGGCATTTGCAGCAGTTTCTTACATAAGCAAAACCTGGAGAGTATTGGGCACTTAGTATTCCCTCTCTGCTTGCATCACTTCTGATGTTCAACCTTTACCCAGAGGGTTTTGGCCATTACTAATCCCAGGGCTTTACACTGTCCTCTTCTCAACTCCTACGTTACAGAAAGCTTTTTCAGTCAAAATTACATGAAAAACATGGTCAATACACATGTTTTTCTCAGTACAACTAAGTTTTCAGTTGTAATCAAGGGTCCAATTTTACTCCAATTCAGAAAAGATTGGTTTGCTTTTACTAGAATAATGGATTTTTATGTTCAAATGTTCCACCACATCAATAAATAAAGAAATAAACATTACTGCTATAACATGTTCTGGGTGAATCTCAACCATCTGTTCAGCAGTTCTTTTGCTTATATTCTCCAATGATGTCCATCTTATTGCTATTCAATCATCCAGAAGCTTAATGAATATGGTAAGTCAGTAAAATTAAATAAAATTTGGTGGAAATAGAAGTATTAGAATTTCAGGCTTTAGTAACTTAGATCTGATCAAGAGTAAAGAGGTGAATTTTAAAATTGCATCTCTAGAAAGTGAAGCTGTAATGGAAATCAAAACAATTTTAAGTGAACCTTGTAAAAGCTGTGTCTCAATTGTGTTTTATGAAATAATTAACTAAAATATTTGAGATTACAGTTCTTCCTTAATCTTCTTTTAATTGACAGAAGAGACATAAGCAGTTTATAAGCCATTGAGAAGTACTTCAGGCAAGCAAAGAATGATATTACAGTACTAGTAATCATATCCATAAGAAACTGCAGAAAAACATCGTACATTTTCATATGTAAAGTACTGCAATAACATCACTGTATTTTCTTCTTGGTGTATAAAGCAAACCAGCAATTTGCCCCCACTTGCAGCCAGCATCCCAGGTCAACCACTGGCACTGAAACTAGAAGTCACTTTTTCTCCACATGTATGCACAGTCCTATAAACATGGAAATGTAACTGCTGTCCTTCTTGTCAGGTCAGGTTTTATATTTTTCCCTATAACATTCCACAATTTCAGTTTTCAAAAACTGAAAAACTGATTACTGTTGTTCCACAGGTTTCCAATACAGCACTTCACTATCAGGACAGTGTTTAAAACAATTTTCCTTGTAATGTTTCTGTACATATAGAACATGAAAAAGCAACAGTACCCCACTGAATGCTTAGGCTCACATATTCTTCAGCTCATCCTGGTAAATACCTTGACTTACAACTACCAGTTTGGCCATTGATCCTGAATGGTCATGTTTAAAACCCTAAGTTAGATTTCTTCCTTATGTTGCAATTCAGGAGAACAGTTCACCAATTAAAACAAAAAAACAAACAATCAAACCGCTACCTGCATAACTCAAAGCTTGAAAAGGAGTTGCTAAGAAGTACAAGAATGATCTACTGAACCTTTGTTACTGAAGACAAGGCACATGATCCAAAGATGCACAACTTGGTGTCAGTGTCATCTACACTATTACAGGATTGGCACTTGACACAATCCCCACCTCCCAGCCCTGATCTGCCTAACTAATTGAAGGATGAAAGGGAGGGGAAGTTCAATTCTTTCTGTGAATACTGAGAACAGAAAGGGTATCTAAAGCTCCAAGTCTTACTAAAATATTTGCAGGTGTAACAAGTTGCAGTGTTATCCAAGTGACTCAAGTTCAGAAATGCTCAAAAGTCACAATACTCAAAGCTCCTCAACTGACATGATAATCCTTATATGAAAATTGCTTACTCACACTGTAGTATAGGAACCTCTTCTGTCTCACCTCCCCTCTTTTCTCCCATACAGAATTTGCCCTTATCAGCAGGGAAATGGCAATTCTTGTTTAATTAATCATCTGAGACTTTTCAAAAACAGGAACCAAGGAAAATAAATCAACTTTATATATAATGAGCATTACATGTGCTGGTGTTACACATTAATCCAAACACTGAATAAGCTTAGCTGGACCCCAGAAACCCAGCCAACACTGAAGCATGTAATAAGTAACTATATGCATGAGGCAGGAACACCTTATCATTCCTAGTCTCTTTTTCATGTATTGGAAAGAATGTGTCCTGCAATGTAACACAGAAAGCTAAAAAGTGAGTTAAATTATTTTATTTAAAAATGTATCTCAAATTTTCTAAATGGAGCTGCAGAGTTGTCTTCGGTTAAGGATGCTAAAATAGGTGCTCTCTCCTCTACAGATTCAAAAGCTTTTTTAGAATTACATCAGTACAGAAAATTCTGTATTTGCAGATTAATTACACTAACTCCTTCAATATTTAGGCTTGGCTTTCCAAGGAGAAAGATCTTTGCAGAATCCATGAGAGTTTAATTGTTTTCCTACCTGCCACCCAAACTTTAATTTAACCTTCCCAGAGATATGCAACGCTTTCAGCTTAGATTGCAATCACTCATCCTATGTTTGTATTCCTGACAAAGTACAGCACCTATACCAATTAACATGGGTTTTCCAGAAGGTTTGTTTATTCACCTATTCAACTCAACAAGCAAACATTTTTTCACTTTTTAATTGTTTTAAGTTTGTGTTCAAACTATAACTTGTACCATTACTATAATGAATTTATAAATGTCAGTGAATATCAAGCATCTCAACTGGTTCAATGAAGTTACCTGCAGTATACTTTGTAGCATTCCCTTTGATAAATTATTCATCAATTTTAAAAGGAAAGAATTTTGAAAATGCTGAAGAAGCCTTCTGGGTTTACAGTATAAACCCAACAAACTCAAACATATTCCCCCCATCATGTATGTGTACACACATGTATTGTGTAAAGTCACGTAGACAAACTCCTTGTGTATCTGAAATGCAAATTGGATATGAGAAGCCCAATTCTATGTCAGCCATGGTACCATAATATTTTACACAAGTGGTTTCTTTGCTGTTTTTTATTAAAGTTGTTCTACGAGTGTAATGTCTGCTTGTCAGAAAGTAAAAAGGTAAAACTAGTTTTGTTTCTTCTCTTAATAGAGGACACATTTGAAATATGAATAGCTGTTTAGAGCAATGGAACTTTTAACTTAGGCAGTAGAAGTCACTAACTAAAGCAATGGTCTCACTAACTTATTTTTAACCTTCTTCCTGACAAAGGTCAGGTTTTCCTGTCGGACTGCAGTAACTAAGCAAACACCCCTGGAAAACAGGCACAGGAACTTTTTGGCTTAATTATTCTTGGGAGATGTAACAATCTGCACATTCAGGATAATGGAGTGTCAAACCCACAACATTATCAAGCAACTGTCACATTCTGCTCTCCAGCAGTGTAGTTCTTCAGAACGCTGAAACATGAAAAGGAGAATTCAGGGGAAATTAACTACACCAAATCGGGTTAATCAAAATCTACAAACCTTAAGGCATTTCTCTACTTTTTTAACTTCATCCCAAAATGTGTCTCTCACACAAAAAGAAAATTATTTTATAGTAACAACCATGTTGAGAATTTGCTATTCAAAAGAAATTTGTGAGCAAATGTCACAAATGTCATTATCAGTATCTCAAAACCCATCCTGAATGTTTTCAAATACATGAAGTAGCTCACAATTAAAACTCAGATCAAGATTCCTAAACCGGCTGTATTAAAAGTTACCAGCAGAATTTCAGCTGATTCACATTCAAATTGTATCTCTTCTTACTCATCTGTGCTATAATGCAGGAATCATCGGCACATTTAGGGGTTGTTTTAAAACAATTTAAAACCAGATAATTACAGAGGCACATGTATATACAGTAACACTAAGTGTGATGGCTTTTGTGATACTGATGAAGTAATCTACCACACGTATAAAAATGTTTTATCAATTCAAAAGATTACCGTTAACATAAGGAAGGTGAATGCAGTTATTCCTAGAATGAGGATTTCTTTATTCCCTTTGCTTTCTGTGTGCAACTTGCGGTAATACGGTCCTATGAGATAAGTCTTTATAACAAGACATAGAAGAAAAACAGCAGCCAGAGAAAACAGAATTTGGCCAATCAGTATCAGTATTCTCAGAATTTCCTTGAAAATGCTGGAAGAGAAGAACAAACAAAAAGTTTCTTTCAAGTACTCTCATATTTCCCAACCAGTTCCCTGTAAATGAAAATAGCTAATTCCATAAATGCTCAAATCAAGAAGGTATTTAGATACATTAGCAAACAAGATTAAGACTAAATCTGCAGAGTGCCCAGAAACCTCTTTTACAGTCTAGAATTTACTTCCATGTTGACTCATAAAGATTTTCATTGACTAATCTCCAAGGTAAGCCATTAGGCACAATAATACTGTCACTTAGTCTTTGACAAAAACGTGCCCTGCAGGAATAAAGTAGAGTGAAGAAATTAACTTTTTTTTTACAGTAACAAACTTTTCACTCAAAATTTTAATTACCACACAGGATTAACGCAGCTGTCACAAGGAGATTATTTTCATACAACTACTTTCAGATGACTACTACAGGTTTCTACTTCACAACAAATAGGAACAGTAAAGGAAATCTCACTGAACAGAGCAACTATTTTCTATGGAACTGACATTAACTGCAGTGCTTTCATGTTCATATTGACAATCTACATTCTAATTGCAAGGGGTAGAGGGAAGATCCATACAATGATTTTTTTTACCTGGAATATGTGCTCACTCCTGCTTGAATAAGCGTAGGCATGACAGCTATAAATAAACCAAGCTGCACATCCTGCATCACCAACATGCCAAGCAGTACGCTGCTGTAGTCAATATCCCCTGTACACCAGCAAAGTGGTCATGGAAACAGCCATCAGAAACTATGAATGTTTGCAAATGCTCAGAAATCTAGAAAAGGCTTAATCAAATGGAAGCCCAATATAGGTTGTAATAGGCTGGAGGTCATTCAAAGCAGTTTACGAATTTTTTTTAACCCATAAATAGGTAAATTAAAATGTATCTATGAAGACATACTAAAACACAAACAAAGTATTAATATTAAATTTCTGTTACACAATTAAAACACAGACTTTGCTTAGCAGTTAAGCACTAGTTACACATTGAGTATAATTCCTCTACTGAGAGTATACAGACTTTATTCTGAAGACACGCATTCGAGCCAGCATGTGTAAAATATACACCTTGAATTCTGGCATTAGAATGAATATTCTAGAGGGTGAGGAGTACTTGAACACAATTTGTATGAGGGAGATTTAAGTGGAAGAAAGCACAATGTCAAAACTTTCAAAAGGAAACATTTAGAAGTATTTGAGAAGCTAAAATATGGCCCTTGAAGGTCCTTATTTGAAGAGCTATTAGCTATGAAAGACCATCAGAACTGGTTTCTGTTTCCTGAAGAAGGATGTGAACTTTTTAAATTAACCTTTCTGCCCTGATGACAGGTAGCAGTAGGCTAATCTGGTAACCTCTTAAGAAGTTCAAGGATTCCAGATACTCAGTAAAGTCAGTTCTCAATGGAGAGTACTACAATGGTTGTACTACACTGTCTTTGCCCAAAGAGGACCAGCTATGTACAAATCAAGTACAATTCCTAGCAAGAATACACACAACACTGGCCAGTGTTAAATAAGGATGATTTTTTATAAACCAGGCTTAAGAGTGGGTTTTTTTTGTTTGTTTGTTTTTTTTTTTTTAACTAGCTTCTCTTTAAGTATTACAAAGTCACTTCTTTCAACTTTTATTAGATACTACAGTAGTCCACATTTAAAGTCATACTCACCCTCTTTATCTCCTCGAACACTACCTGCAAGAAATCTGGACACCAGTGGTGTGCTTGACAAAGACAAACAAGTGGAAATGAAGACACTCTGTGTTGGTCTAATTTGGAGCAAGTGCCCCCATAGTAAACCAAAGGCAATCATCAGAACTGTCATGTAGCAGGGTCCTTGCAATGATATTTTCCATACCTTGGGAAGAAAACAAGTTCTTATGACACTTTTCTCGTTGCTAAGTTACAATGTTTTTCACTGCAAATAAGTAGTTAAAGATGTGTGATCTGGGGCTGTCATACCGGGTCACAGAGTATGGACTGTCACACAAGATCACCTAAAAGTCCCAGCTTACAACACTGAGTAAATATTGTACCCCAAAAGACTCTCTGCCAGAAACCAGGTGAATTCCCCAAAGCTCAAGGAGAAACTAAGGGCCAAATGGTCCAGTAAGTTTTGAAATACACACAATACACCAATACCAGTAACCTGCCCCAAACTAGTGCAGAAGCAAATGTGAAGCTGCAATTTACCTACTACAGTTTAGGAAGCCTTGAATTACTGATTTTTATCTTGGACTTTAGATGGACTAGAAACAGCAGATTAAGCTAAATGGTCATAAATTGTAACATATTTCAATTAAAGCTTTTCCAGTATCATAAACTCATAACCATCAGTTTAGGAACAGATCACACAGCGCAATTCTTCACATATTTGTAGCCGCATTTTCCACAACTAAAACTCTAGGTGATTTATAACATTTTCTTTTTAAATGAAGATCAAAAGGAACTTGTAGATTTTGCTGAATTCTGGTGGCCACATAATTTAATATTCCAGATTATGTCAACATACTTGCTTAATCAGTTTATTAGCCAATGGAGTATGTATTATCAATTCAGTTTGGAGTACTTAAACTTTCAGATTTTTTTATAACAGGAATGGCAAACATCCCTGACACTCCATAACAGCAACTGCACATTACTGCATGTTAAAATAAAGCAGAGGTGGACTGTCAAACTGTGAGAGATTTTTCTAGTAATCAAACTGTTTTACTGAAATAGGGAGTAAATGTAGGTTTTTTTGAGGCACTGAATAAATAATGCATTCTGTTCTTTCCAAAGTGCAGAAGCAAATGTCATATTTGTCTTTTCAAAAATGTATAAAGCTACACCAGTGTATTGTAGGGAGTATGTAAAAATCTAAAATATAACTGAAAACTGCAGTTTCAGTAATTAGCAATTAAATCCCTTAACACAGAGATATTATAAAAAAATACCTTTCTTAATCTTTCAGGAGAAAATTCCAGACCAACTAGAAAGAGAGTGAAGAATACACCAAACTCTCCTAATGTCTCCACCTGTACAATAGACTTAGGAAAACAAAAAGAAAAATATCAGTGCACAACAGTCTACTTATGATACAAAATTATGAGTACGCTACAAAACAAATTGATTCTCATTATGTTTCCACAGGTAGTTCACTTGCTGTTCCTATGACATCAGAAGTTCCCAGAGCACCTTTGGAGTGCAATTATTTTTCCCATCACCTGGCTGATACTAGGCAGTAATTTGGTGGGAGAGTGCTGGTCACCCAAAGTGCACATGTGCATTGATCTTGGTAAGTGTTGAGGAACTGATCCAGGCAGCTTGGCTGGCAAGCTGCAGATTGAGATGGAGACTGAACTCTCAGTGGGAGCCTGCAACAAGGGACAGTGAACTACCAACCTTTGGGATAACAAGGGCATGAAGGTGAAGAAGGCAGAGAGCCTTGTGAATGGTCAGACTGGAAAGTTTCCTTAGCAGTAAGCTTACTTGCTGGTTGAAAAAAAATAGGCTATGTTTTATGCATGTATTCTTAAATCTCCAAGGCTTGCTTCCACAAGCTACTTCTGGCTAGTTATTTTATTGGTCTATTGGTATCTTTCTGCTAGACTGTGGCTGCTGTGGTTCTCCTCCCTACAGGCTCCACACATCCATCTCAGACCAGCACAATTACCAGCCTTTGTGCTACAGAGAGAAGGATCCAACAGCAAGAAAAGTGGTGGCCTTCCTCATCACAACAGAAAAATGGGCATACTTCTGGCTGGCAACTGGTGTACCCTCAGGGCTCTCAGGCCAGTTCTGTTCAATAGATACATGTATGTATCAATGAGGAAATTATTCAAAATGCTGGATTCTAATCCCCCTGGGATGGGGTAATGCCAGGCACAAGTATGGATTAGGAGAGGAGTGGCTGAAGAGCAGCCCTGCACAGAGGGATCTGGGGGTGCTGGTGGACAGCAGGCTCAGTGTGAGACAGCAGAGGGCAAACCCCATCCTGGGGTGCATCAAACAGAGCATCACAGTCACTCAAAATTATCCTGCTGTATTCAGTGTTGGTGTGGCCTCAGGCCTCAGAGGCCTGACCTGGAGCACTGTGAGCAATTCTGGGCCCCAGTATGGAAGGAGGATGTGAAGGTACTTGAATGCATCCAGAAGAAGACAAAGCTGGTGGAAGGCTGGAAGGATTGTCCTGTGAGGAACAGCTAAGGACTCTGGGTTTGCCTAGCTTGGAGAAAAGCAGGATGAGGGGCAACCGCATCATTCTCTACAGCTTCCTGAGGAGAGGAAGTGGACAAGGAGGTGCTAAGCTCTTCTCACTGCTATGCACTGACAGGATGAGTGGAAATGGTTCAAAAGCTGCCCCAGGAGAGGTTCAGACTAGACATCAGGAGGCATTTCTTTTCTGAGAGGGTGGTGATACCTTGGAACATGCGTCCTAAAGAGCTGATTGATGCCCCAGGCTTGTCAGTGTTTGAGAGACATCTGGACAACACCCTTAAAAATATGCTTTAACTTTTGGTGAGCCCTGAATTGTTCAGGCAGTTGACTGGAATAGTCAATTCTATTCTAAAATCCTAGTATTTCTTTTCTATGTATTTATGGACCAGAGTAGAAGAAAACAATGTTTACAGAAGTGGGGATGGAAACCATCTTTTCTGCCAGATTAGAATCTGCCTGCCTTCTTAGTTCCTCAGACATTCAACTTTTTTAGGAAATGGAAAAGAGACCCAGTCAACAAGAGTATTATCCAGATGAATAACATTTAATCACAGCTCCACAACAAGAAGGCAAGTCACTTAAACTGCTCTTAAGAAACATCTTTCATATCTGTTCTGACCACATCATCTTCTTTAATGTAAGAGTCCTGAAATTTGTTGTTGGGTCTCTTTCTCATGCCAAGCTTACAATCTTGTTTCTCAGTCTTAAGTGATCAAACTTCCCAGACATTCTCAACCCAGAAATTACATACAAGACAGAGGCTGAGATTAAATAATCTCTTCCAATACAAGATCAACAAAATCCTACAATTTCTACTAATCCCTACTTTTGAGCTCAACAATCATTTTCAACAGAAGCCCATGGAGGAGCAGATGTTGCAAAGACAGCAAGTTCCAAGTGGTTTCATGGATATCAGTTTAATAGACACATGCAACTTAAGCAGACATTAGTGTGCAGCCCTAGCATGTGTTCTGTTTTGCCTGCTGGCTAAACAATCTCTTAATGCACACCAGAGCACTTAATCAAAACATGTCCAGCCAACCACAGCTCTCGGTTTCACAGGAGCCACTAACCAGGGTACACGTGATGGAGCTAAAAAGGTTCAAAAGACCTCAGGAATGTGGGCAGGGTACTGGGAAAGGAATAAGGGGACCAGGGTGGATGAAAGCACTACAGAGGTGCAAAATAACTCTCTAGAAACCAAGCTATGTTCCTTGGGGAACTATTTGTTTTAAATGCTTCCTCCATTGTCAGCACTGAAACTTTTTGCAAGTTTCTGTACATTTTATGTCATTTAAATAATTTGGCTCCCAATTGTGATGTTTTATGATTAAAATAAAAAAGAAAGAAAGAAAAAAAAACCTGACATAAAAATTCCACAATACACAACCTCCAGTTTTCACTTTCAATAACTGTCATAATTTTATAGGAGAAAAAAAGATTGAAACAAAATCATTCAAAGACATAAAATGTGAATCTCTCCTCTTGTAAAGGTTCATGTTTGGGGATATCTTTTTTTTTTTAAATACATTTGAGGCTTATATCCTTTTATCCTATCCATATCCTTTTAAAGCTACTTTTAAATATTTCAATGAATTAAATCAGTCAAGAACTAACCTGCACACTTACCTTGATACTATTTAGTCCTGAGGGTCCTAAGAGTACTCCACAGATGATATACCCAAACATGGTTGGCAATCCTATTGTTGTGCACAGCCAGCCACACGGCAAAGACAACATTCCTATTGTTACAATATCCTAAATACATAAGATTTATAAAGGCATTAATACAAAGGACACAAATTTAGGATAAAATTGAAGACTATTATCTTTCAAAAGATAAATAGCACTGTAAAATTAAATGTAGACTACACGTGAAACGAAAACAAAACTTCTGTAAATTAACTTCAATGTTTTAGTCCACTGTAAAATTAAATGTAGACTACTTCACGTGAAACGAAAACAAAACTTCTGTAAATTAACTTCAATGTTTTAGTAGGTGTAAGCACAGCAGTTTTTCAGATGAAGCAGATGAGGTACTGACCTTAAGTAACTGGGGGACTTTAAATCAATTTATAAATATTTTCAATATATCATAGAAAGTAGGCAATTTCCTGGGTGGAATGACACCTTTCATTAAAACAAGATGGTGAAACAGAACTGCTTTGGGTTTTACAATTAAAACAAAAATCCCAATCCAGTTACTCTATTTAAAGCACAAATACAATCAAAACTCTACCATGTCTATGTATTTTTCAGTATCCCTTTTTTCATCACAAGGGACAACCAGATAAATTCTGTCTACTGACAACATGCAAGTGGCTTATTAAGCACAGCAGTAACTTTAACACTTTGTAGTCTGAGAGAAGGGACAGTGCCTCAAAGGTGCAACAAGAGAGGCCAAATAAAAACACAGAGTGGCATCATGATCAGTCTTGTGAAGACAAACCTAAGAGCAGGGAAGACATGGCTGAATCACCATAGATGGAGGAGTCATGAATGCTGGGATAACTGCAGGCAGAGAAATGCTGAAACTATACTCACTCCAACCAAATAGTACTGATATGCAAACCTGTGGGACTAAATCCAGAAGTGAATGACAAGAATGACTCAATCCATTCTTGAATGACAAGAATGTCTCTGAAATTATTACCTTTATGAAATGATGGTCAGCACGAGGAATGGTTGAGTCTCTGGGTTTAGTAAGGATATACTGATTGTTCTGAGAATCAATAAGCATACTAAGTCCTAAGTCATCTTCTACTTCTCTTTTTGAAGCATTTCTTTTGGAGTTGGCTTCATCTTCTTCCACCCTTAAAACAGCTTCAAAGTTTACACCTCTTACCTTTAAAAAACGAAAACAAATAATCAAGCAAACAAAAAAAAAGGAGAGTCAATTAAGTATATCATAATAACAGAAGAACTATTAGCTGTGCTTGAAGTTTCTACAGAACTTTGTCACACCAACTAAAAATACTGCAGGTTTCTTCTCTAAAAATCTTTCAATCTCTTTATCAAAACTCGATGCCTTTAAAAGTAACATTTTCTTACCTTGAACAAAACCAATTGGAGATTACAAGGTGATATTCAGTTCACAAAAATCTGAACTAAAGACTGCTAAGAAAAGGTCACTATCCTGTAAATTTGAAGGTGATGTTATAAGAACTGTTTCTACCTAGTTATTTTCAGGATTTTATTTCTCAGAACAGCAATTCTTGAACTCAGGTTGTAGTGCAGATTTATTTTTTTTTTACCTGCTACACTTCACTATTTGGCTATATTTTAACAGAAGCTTATGTCTTTATGAGAATATTGATTACTGTATTAACGCTTCTCTAGTCTAAAATTCCACCGTTTTAGTTTAAAAAAATGCTCCTTGCAATGATGGAGAAGCACATAGAGCTCAAGGCTGCACTTCATGATTCCTTTCAGGGATGGAGCCGCAAGCAGAACAGCAGGGAAGAAGGGAGGAAGAGCGGAAGCAGGCGGCGCTGGCTCCAGGTGCCGCAGGGAGCGCCCGCTCGGCTCGGCCGGGGCCGCTCCCCCCGGGCGGGACAGGAGAGGGCGCTCCCAGCCCCGGCCCGGCCCGGCCCGGCCCGGCTCCCACGGGCACCACCGCTCGCATCTGCCGCACGCGAAATAAAAAACCGGCTTCCACTCTCTCGGTGCGAGCTCAACTACAAAAACAAAAACAAAAACAAAAACAAAACAAAACAAAAAAAAAACCACCAAAAAACAAACAAAACAAAAAACAAAAACCAACAAAAAACAAACAAACAAACAAAAAAAAACAAAACAAAACAAAAAAAAAACCACACACGGCTTGGCTTTCTGCTGCACAGAAACTGGTTTTGCCTCCTCAGCAGAACTCAAGAGCTATGCTCACCTTGGGAGTCAACCTGGAAATCAGTAAAAACCTCCCAAGAGGAGAAGCCAAATAAACTGTAACCCGTGTTTATGCAAACAGGGCCAATTTAGGGAGCCTATGTGAAGATGGAAAAATGGGACACTAGAATAAACTGACGTATTCCTGGCCCTAGAGACATATAGCCTTGCCTGAAGGATACTGTCCCATCATGCGGCATAAAAACAAGGAGCAGTGCAGGTAGGCCAAGGTACAAAACACAGAGGAAGTCAGACATGGAAGAATGTAACATCCCAAACACATTTCAGATTTTTCCTTCAAAAAATATATATTTTCTCAGACTGTGAAAACCAACTGCAAGGATTCTTGCTCTGCCATAACTTGCTCAAGAAAATTAAGAAGTGGAGACAATGCTGAATACGGTAACTCCATATCCTGCCAAGTCCAACCACCACAATCCCCACCACCACAGAGATGCCATATCTATCACGGGCTGTATCACTCACATGTACCACACTTGGGCCTGTCAAAGTGGCAGCTGCAGGGAGCACTTTCAAATCAAAACTACAGAAATCACTAGCAAAAAGGAGCAGTTACTCCTGTTTGCTCACTCTTCAACAAACACTAAAATCCTAACAACTATATAACACAAGAGATACACACAGGGCAAACATCAACTATAAATAAATACACTCCAATGAAATGACTGAGTCTAAAGCATCACTTACAGATTTGTTGTCATCAAAGGCATGCTCTTCTATTTCCTCTTCCAATCTATCAGCTGCCTTCCTGACATCTTCCAGAATTTCATCAAGCATCGACAGGCTTTTGTTTTGGTGCTGCATGTTCTTAAGGGCTTCAACCTGGTGTTTCTCTGCTGCTAAGAGTTCAACATATTCCATTTCTTCCTGTTGAATTTTACAACACACAGATAAAGTGTTGGCAGGCCTTTGAGCAGAAAAAACATTTGACATAAATGTGTGCTTCTTTTGACACAAAACATTTTATCAGTGGAATTGCAAAAGCAATATAGACGTCATGAAGATATTTAAAGATTGATTTTTCTTGTGCCAATTTTCATTGGGTAAGTGGGCAAGAAAACAAAACAACCAAACAAAATATTCACCAATAGCCTTTTCTATTACATTAAACAGCAGACCTGCCCCAAGGTTATGATCCAGAAAATATAAGAAAGGATTTACTTCGAGAAACTCTAGGAAACATTTCAGAGCAAAATACAAGTTTAGAACTTCATGCTTTTGAAGGGAAGCATAATACCTTGAAAGCATAGCCATACTATCTACAACAAACAAACAGATGTAAAGCACAATGAATCTTAATTTTATAAGCCCTTTTATAAACATAGGAAGAGGTCTGTTTATGGTTTTCAAAAATTACAATAACTGTGGAAACAGGATGAAAAGAAGAGCTGCGGTAGAGATGAGCAGCCAATCACTCTAGCCAAGCTTCCTGTTCATGTTTCCCAAAAAGTACTTTTCCTATCAGAATTAAAACACCCTTTTCATCCTATTTCAGTTTGGGCCTCTTATTAGCTTGCACTGACAACTTCTGAAATTACTTGGTTTCTGAAGTAAAAAGAGAAAATATGCTGATATGGTTTGATACGGTGTGAAAATATTTCAGTAATTTCCCTGATAAAGTTATGATGTTTCAGGTTCAAAAAGAGAACTGAAAGGCTTAATTTACTAACAACTGGGGCTAACACCTTTTACAGAGTTACCATGACAGTAACCAAACAGAATACTGTGTATTGACAGAGAACAACTTGAGGGTTTTGGGGAAAAAAGATTCTTTCCTTTACATGTCTCTATTCTTTTAAAGATTGTTGAAAGAACAGCTATAAGGAAACACACAGAAGGGCAGCACTCCTTCCTTTCAGTTAGGTTCAGGTTGCTGAGAATACCTGGATGAGACCCTTCTTCTGCTCTTTTAAAAAGCTAATATTGTTAAAAAGAAAAAAATAAAACCCCAGGCAAAATAATGCAAGCAATCTATAGGTCTGACTCAATTCCCAGAAAACACAAGTTGTTGTCCCCAGATGCCCCTGCCACGCCCAGTTAGAAATCAGAGAACACAGATCTCCCATAGGTTGTGTATTTTATCTGCCTACCCTCCATAGATATCTTCAATAACCTGAGCTTATTATATGGTCCTAAACACCTATGCTTAAATAACTGTAGTGTCTCCTCCTCCACACATTTGCAGGTGGACATTTTTCCCCTTGGAACCCGCAAGAACATGCTCATAATTCAGTCAATTCCTTGATGCCAAGAGAAGAATATGTTCAGTACAACCAGTGACTGCAGCCGAACCCTTTAAAATCCTGACAGTCGGATGAATGCCTCTGACTGTGAGGAAACCACAGCACTGGTGTCTGCTGGTGTTTAGAACTATCATAGTTACACCCTCATGGTGAAAGTTACCCAGAGCCCAAAATAACTGGAGCTGGGAAGAATGTAACTATTAATGCGTTTGGCCCAATGTCAACAATTAGTTCTTATGCAACACATAAGTAGGAGACACAGTCACTCTCATACAGCCTCAAGGAAAAACATTTCCTATCTGTTGCTCTCAGCTAGCAGACATAGCTCAAAAGATGTAAGAAACAGCCCCCATATGAGCTGCAGATTCTCTGCTAATTCAGCAACAACTTAGAACACAAAGTGAAATTGATAATGGTAAGATTTTTTCCCCTCAAAAATAGAAGAGGTTTTGGGTGCAAGGAGCCCATCCCAGTCCTTTCCACTGGCCAAGACAAACAGGCTGAACACAGCTATAGGCAAACTACATAAAAAATCATCTCTAATTTAAAAGAAGTTTCCCAAGATAGCAAGGTGGAAAAGCTTTGAAAAAATAAGAGTTTAGCTTCAAGTTCCTACAATTAACAAAGATTAAAGTTTTTGTAGTCTATTAAAGTGGCATCTGTTTCCACCAAGAGACAAATGTGACAGCAGTAGACTGGGACAACCACAGGCAATGGTGTCCACAGAAAGCATGAGTTAATTCAAACGGCCTGCTACATGCTAAGCAGAAGTGCATCACAGTACAAACACTGTTCTGCAACTCAGGCTGGGATTGGAGACACCTGATCACGAGGACAACAAGCCACCTCTTAAGAAAAGCAATACAGATAAGGATTGTGTACTTAATAGGAACGCCTGAAGACATATGAGCAAAATGAAGATTAAGACCTTGGGGCAATGCTGACTCAGAATGCAGAGTTGCTGTTGCACTCCAGTATGTATTCAGAGACAAAAGCACAAGCAGAAGATGTTGCATCTTTGCAATACTTTTAAGTAATTTTTTTTCCACCCATGTCTGATTAGAAGGTATCAGAGAAATTAGAAGCTAATTAAAAAGTAGGTAAGATTTTGTTACTTTTTTTTCTGAACTTCCAAACAGGATCCTGGAGCAAAAGAAGGCAGAAATCATCTTCAGTGCTTCTTTCTTACTTCCCCCTGCCATATACCATGAATGATCCCACTGTATCTTTTCACAGCAGCAGAACCAGCAAGAAATTCATCAGACATATACATATCCCAGCACTAATGACTTCCAAGAATTTCTACTCAACAGAAATAAAATAAAGGGAAGAGTCCAGCACCCCCTACAGTTACTTGTATTTTCCATTCACTCACTGTTTAAAAAAAAATAGATGCTCTAAGAGTACACCAACAAAATAATCGTTACAGTAAAATGAAACTGGGACAAAGCTGGACCTAATGTGTGTCTTATGAACTAAGAACAAGTCCAAAACAAATGTATCCCATGCAATTTTCATCTTTTTGGCATGCATTTTTAAAAATCTTTTGCTTCCCTTTATACAACAATTATAAGGTTAGGACCACAAATACTCTGCTTAAATAACCACATGCATGGCATAAGAAGGAAGGTGCAAAAGATTCCTCACTCAAGTAAATATTTTTGAAATACAAAAAAAGCCTGCACGATCCACTTCAGCAAAAGTAAACTTTTGACAGGACACACCTCTAAAACATATCATTGTACACAAAGGCCTTATTCTAGAAGAGGCACCATTCTCAAGTTCAAGGATAAATTACTTCACTATTTTACAGTAACATTACCAAGAATTAGGTAAATGGGAAAGAAGGTTCTGGAATGCCTCACTGCTGCTATTTTACAAGCTCTGAGAAAGTAAAAAGCTAGAAACCCAAGTAAAGCTCATGACAATTTCTACGACATTTCTATGCAGCAGGGGATGCCATAAAATATCACTATACAAGTCATATAAAGTAGTTCATCAGAATAGATCTAGATACAAATTATTCCCTATTCAAATTTGTTGTAATTCACTCTTCATTTCCACTGCACAGAATCACTCCAGTCTGCCAAGTTTACATCCTAATTTCTACTTCTACCAGCCTATCTTGGCACTATTCACTGGACACCTTTACTGCAAATAATTTCTTTCCAGCTTCTCCTGTCAAGGTCTGCACATTTCTTAGCACAAATGCTCTTCAGAGACTCTCACAACTCAAATGCTAAATGCCAATTACATTTTTATTCCTTCTCTTGCTCCCTTGTGCAAGGGCAACCCCTTATTTTGGAAGACAGAATACAAAGAAAATTCTTAATATATTCCTCCAGTGGCTGAGGAGTAGAGAAAGAAAAAGAGCAATTTAAATACCAAATACACTAAATTGCATTTTCTCTCAATTGGAGACTCAGTACATTGTCTGAGCACTACAAAGTGCAGAAGACAGTGGCAGATTGTGCTCAACCTAATGGGACATGGGAACTCAAACTTTCCATGAATATCTGTGTTCAACTGTTACTCATCCGTGTTTTTTCTTGACAAAGTTATTTCAGCTGACTTTTTCTTGGAAGCACTGCATTTCAAACCTACATTTCTTAGGCTGGGAGTGCAATACTGAGTTTAAAAATCTAGTCACCTACTGTTTTGCATGTCCATTTTACTCAGACTACACAAACACAGAAATGAAAGGCAGCAAGTCATTCTGTTTTAACTGCGGACTTTGATTGAGCAATTCTCATTTAAAATGGAAAAAACCCCTTAGTATTCCACCATTTGATGGCATTATTTCTACTCAGCTAATGCCACTGGCTTGTCTAGTGCAACTGTGCTATATGCACTGATTCACTTTTCTTATCCCTCTCCCTTTAACATTATATTTGCCATAGGTCTTATGATTATGCTTAGCTTTAAGATAAGAACTACTGACTACTAATACGTTTTATGCTCTACAACAGAATTACTTGTAAATTTACTAATGAAAACAAATACTTTAATAAACAGTAAACATAGCAAGTTTTATGTAGATATCCTTTTTTTATTAAAACAGACTGAAACTGTGCCATAATAAAGTTAAAATCACAGGTAGAATATGAATACTCTAGTAACAAACACGGGGAAACCAACCTTAATTGCAGCTTCTCTCAAGGCCTCCAGTCTCTGTCTACTGCTTTCTTTCATATTTACAACATCTTTGTAGTCACCCTGTAGAGCTCTCTGGAGGCCATGGATTGCCTGAAATACTGAGTTTTCACTTTCATTTAGCTCCTTTTGGAAAATTTCAAAGGTGTGCACCTGAAAAAGTTTCTCTTCATCAGACAGTCCTGCATCCTTCTCAACTGCTCTTATGGCATTTTTTAGTTTGTTGAGAACAACGTTCTTTTGGCGAAGAAGACCAGACAGTTTTCTGCAGCTCTCCAACACCCACTGCTTCCTCTGAGTGATAACAGCTCCTTTCCCACGGTGCAGCTTTATTGCATGCTTCACTACATCTTCACGCTCCGCGGGGTTTGCTAACGGGCCACAAGGCAGCGAAACCAACGTCCACAGGGAAATAAATCCAGTCGCCTTCATCCTCCACTTTATATTCCTCTTGGGAGAAACTGATAATCCACAGCTGCTCAAAGCTTTCTGCTACATGGTTTCTGCATCTCCAGCATGCACAGCAGGCTGCAAGATAGCACCAATCGTTATCAAACATGGTAATGTTGAGCCATTGGATCAAACAAATGTAGGAAATAAATCCAAGACCGCCTCCAGCACCACAAGCTTTAACAGAACACATACAGTCCTCTCTGCTCAACATTTATGAAAACCAAGAAACAGTCCAAGGTTACTGACAGATTTTTGTCTTCCCTATAACTATTTCCTAGATAACATCTTGTTTTATAAGCAGTGACTGGAAAGCTTAGTCACTTCACATGGTACTCATCTGCACTTCTCACAGGAAAGAAAAGCCTTTAAAAATATCAGGCCATGATGTCATAGGCTGCATTTCAACCCAGCACTAGAACTCACTATTCTTAGCTGTCAGTAAATCTCCTGTCTCTTCTAAAACCTATCCTAAAACATTGTATTATAATAATTTGTTATTTATAAAGTCTCAGAAGCATTAACAAATTCAACTACACACATTCAACAAAACATAAAAATGAAAACACCTAATTGAATCAGATTACATTATAAATCATAACTGTGGAAGAAACAACAGCAAAACTTCCTGGCCTTCTGAGTGCTACTAGTTTGGATCAAAGATGTCCTTCACCTGAAAGGCTGTGGGGCCCTGAGGTACTTTACTTCTAAACCTATTAGGGATTTTCAAGATTTTAAAGTAAATTACAAAAATACTAAATCAATTAATTCATAAGTTCATTTCCCAGCAACTACTTGAAAATCTGTAATTAAACTGCTGTATTTCAACACCAAGCAGGATGGAATTTAAAAACTAATTTCCTTCCCTCAGAACCTAGAAGGAACTACTGACATTATTGCACAAAACAACAGCTATATTTTCTTTTAAAAAATCCAAACAAACATAAAGACCTTCAAAAAAAACCCTCACACCACAAAGTGTTACACACTATATACAAAATTTTGCACTTGGCATTCTAAAAATTCACATCACACACAACATGTTAACAGATCATCAATACAGCAGGTATTTCCCTAAAAATTTAGTTAGTCTTCATCATTGGGGCTGCAGCCTTAATCAGGAACCAATACATGGACACAGTCATCTGGAAGCAGTCTGCCTGAGAGAGAACCTTGTTTTCCTACAAGGCAGTAGCAGTCACAGTCCCAGAGATCCAAGCCAGCCATCATCAATACATGGAATGAGCTCTGAGCAGCCCGGTCTAGCAGAAGATGTCCCTGCCCATGGCACAGGGGTTGGAACCATTGGTCTTTACGGTCCCTTCCAACCCAGGCCATTCTGGATTCCATGGGAAGGGAACATGGCAAGCACAGTCATGCTCTCCTTTCATTTGTTAAACACCCTCCCAATCTCTGTTTCAGAGAGAAATGAGAAAATCTGTCTGTGGGTTGGTTTATTTCTTTTTTCAGTGCATAAAATGCAACCCAAAGTATTTAGTTACTATTAGTTGACTGTGGCCTAGGGTTTAATAACACAAAGAACTACAACATTTAAAATTAAGAACTGAAAAGGCAATCAAAGTAGCAAAATCATATCACATCAGTATAATGTCAAAAAATAATAAAGTACACACATTTCAGAACTTTGATAAAGCTGTGGGTCTTACTACTTTTAAGGAATCAGGAAAATAACAATCCTCACCATCTGGCAAAGTTCTAGAGTGAAATTTAAGGAAATATTTCTTCATATGTACAAATGAATGCTCTTCCTGTGTAGTAGGCTTGGCAGAGATTTTTTAAAAATATATATTACAACCTATTTTTGCAAGAAAGAGGGAGAATAAAACACCCAGTGTATATGCAAGGCAAGTAAAAGACACCCAGTGTATATCCAAGGTGAGTAAAAGACTCCACTGCATGTCTTACATGGTACATCAAACCACATAACTAAATTTTGAGCAGAGATTTACACCAGCAAACTTCACTCCCTGTTGCACTGTGCAAACTTAGCACTGTGGCTCACACATGGGGGCAGTTTTGTTTCTGTGTTTTTTACTTGGCTAGCGAAAACTGTTTAGAGGAGCGACACCTGGGACAGTGCTCAAAAGCTCGTGAGAGAATAAAGATAAATTATGTGATGCTGAGCACAAAAAAAAAATCACCCAAAAAACCCCTAAACCAAGGCAAAAACCTAACACTCCTCTCCGTTCACCACCAACAAGTATCAAATCGGAGGGAGAGTCCTTATTTAAACAGCGTTTGCTTCCTGCTGGATTGCAGCTCATCTTCCCCCTTTTTCCTTCCTGAACACGACACTGCAGCACCAGGTTTCATCAAGCTGATAATACCGGACCCTGCCTCCGGACCGCTCTTGCGGGTCCTTCCAGGTCCGTGGGCTCGCCTCCCTCGCCCCCTTTCCCGTGCCAGCTCCTCGCCGGGAGCCGCAGGCCAGCGGGGCCGTGCCCGCACCTCAGCGCGGCGGCAGCTCCCGGCGCCGCTCCCTGCGGCGGGCGGGCGGCGGGGCACACGGGGAGAACAGAAGGGGTACCCGGAGCGCGGGGGCGGCCGGCCCGGCTGCCTCTCCCTCATGGCGGCGGAGGGACGGGGGGAAAGAGGCGGCCGCCCCGCCCGGCGCATCGGCAGCGACGCTCACCTGAGGGACGGAGGAAGGCCGGCAGCGGCGGGGCGGGAAGGGCGGGATCGCAGGGCGGCGAGCAGGGGTGTTAGTGGGCGGCGGCCGCTGGCGGAGGGCACCGAGGAGCCCCGTCCTTGCGGCCGCCCCTCGCCCCGCGCCGGTGCTCGAGCGCCGGGGCGGCGCCTCGGAGCGCA